TTCCATCATGAGTCTTTTGGAGTTGTCTTAGATCCTTGCATTGTTAAGAAGAGATAAGTCTATCAAAGCTAGTCATCACACAATGTGGCTGTTACTGTGTGCAGTGTTCTTCTGGTTCTCACTTCACTCAGCATCAGTTCATATAAGTCTTTCCAGGTGAAAAGCCTATTTTAAAAAGAGTGTTTCAGGAGTCAGCAAATTAACTTTATTAGCCTGAGAAAGGCAGAGAAATTTGGTATATAAAGTTTCTTCTCAAGGGAAAGCTCCATCTATGAAATTTCAGAATTCTTGATATATACTTTATAACTAGAATTAACTAATGATAAAGGTGGTAAGGAGTATCTTTAAGAAGAAGGCTGTTCAAGTTCATGGACTTGAAAAAGGAGCCCTGGGAAAGAGTAAGACTATAGATTTGGGTATTTTGGGTATAGATTTTGAGAAGAAAGAAGTCTCTAAATCTTTAAGGGGCCAAGGACATTTTTTGCAGATGGAAATAACAATTCATTTCAGGGAATATATGGTAAGCAGCCCTGAAGAGCTAAGGCCCAACCCTGGCATGCAGTTTTTGATGAGCATATCTTTAGTCAAGGATTTATGGAAAAACATGAACAAAAATCACAGAATCTGAGTTGAAAGAGACCTCAGTGACTCTTGTTAAGTCTTTATCTAAGTAAGAATCCTCCCTGCTAACTACATCCCCCCAAAATGGTCATCCTTTTTTTTTTTTAATCTCTGCTATTTCATGAAGTAGTCTATTCTCCTTTTTAGATATCTCATTATTAGGAAGTATTTCTTTAGATAGAACCAAAATCTGCCTTCAGTTTCTTGCCCAGGAATTCTTAAATTGGGGTCCATTTACTTTTTAAAAAAAAAAACTTTTTGAGTACTATTCCAATATAACAAGTTTGTATGTAATCCAGTGTATTTTATTTTACGCATTTGAGAACTTTATTCTGAGATGGAGTCCATAGGCTTCATCAGACTGCCAAAAGGGTCCAAGACACAAAAAAAGCTTAAGAACCCTTGTTAAACCCATTGTTCTTCGTTCTGTTTCTTCCCCCTGATAACCTGTCTCCTTACTCCACCCCCAGAGCCTCCTGTTCTCCAGGCTAAATATCTTCAGTTCATTTAATTTGCTATGTTTGTTGGCATCTTGAGTCTCTTCACCATTCTGGTTATCTTTGTTACGCACTTCCTAATATGTGATACCCAGAACTGAGAAAAATAGTTTGGGTGAAGTCCCCTCATTATGCCCTTCCTCTCTCAATGCAGCCTACAGTTTTATTAACTCTTTTGGCTGCCATATCACACTGTTGACTTACACTGATGCTGCAGTCCACTAAAAGCCCCAGATACCCAAAGATACTTTGTTTTCTAGGTCTTTTTGATGGTCTGGATTACTTTAGTGACCTTGAGATCAAGTATTTTATTATAGATAAACTTCTCTTGATAAATATAATGTGTTGTGGGGGAATCTCACAAGAAGAATCCCTAAGAGCTTTCTGGAGATCCCTAATCCTATTTTATGAGGCACAAACTTTCAGGAACTTGATAATATGAAGGAATGAATGGGGTTGCTATCTCATATACACTGAATGTTGTACCCATAATATAGATCTGTTCACATATGAAGTGGAACTACCAGCCCTGCATTGAATATTGACCCTTTCCATAGCTTAATGCTTAGCTATATCTTGCCCTCAACAGATACCTTAGTTTAATAGACTGGTTGCAGAGCCAGCATGGATCTTAGGTGTCATCATTTTATAATTGTGGAAATTAATTCCATGAGAGGTTCAATGACTTGCCCAAGGTCACTAAACTAATACTTGGCAGAACTAACAAATTGTATTGCTTTGGCAGTCAGACTGTATTCTCAAGCATGTTTTTTTTTTTTTTTCCTGTTGTGGCTGTCCCATTCAAAGTAGAGTCTCAGAGGAACCAATGAGAAAATAAACAGTTACTTAAATGGTTGCTGGGTTTTTTTTATTGATGCCACATGTTATTGATACTTTTCTTTTCCCATCCCACTCATTTCTGAGTATATCTTTTACCACCCAGCAAACCTTCCTTTGTAACAAAGCAGAAAAAATAGTTACCAATATTAGTTCTAAGCAGTTATTTCCAGTGTATGTGCTTTCACTTTAACCTATCAAGATTTTAAGTTGAATTTTAATAAGGAAAAAAATTACAAATTAAAAAAAAAACCTAATGCAAGCTTTACATAAGAAGCCTTGAGGTAGACCATGACAAAAACAAAAACAAGGCAAATTTTGAAAATCAAAACTATGTTGAGGTTTATATATTAAATTGACAGATTTGTTGTTGTTGTACAGTTGTTTTTGCATCTTGTCTGACTCTTCATGACCCCACTCGAGCTTTTCTTGGAAAAAATACTGGAGTGGTTTGCCATTTCCTTTTCCAGCTCATTTTATAGATGAGGAAACTGAGGCAAACAGGGTTAAGTGATTTGCCCAGGGTCACACAGCTAATAAGTTTCTAAGGCCAGATTTGAACTCATGTCTTCCTGATTCCAGTCCCAGCACTCTATCCATTGCACCACCTAGCTGCCGAAAAATTCACAGATAACTAAGTTAATTGTTGTTTTTGTATGAGGGGCAGGAGGGGAGGAAATCTAGACTTAGGATTTAATGAATAAAGGAAACTCAATGTTGGAAAGCCTTATACTGATAAATGTTGGCAATTCATTTATAATTTATAATATTAGAGGCTTGTTCATAGGGGTTTAATAAATATTTGGTTTCAATTGTTATTTGGGGCACCCTGGTCCTATAGCTAGTCTGTGTCACAGGTAGACTTGAACCTTAGTCTTTTCTGACTTCAAGATCAGCTCTGTATTCACTATATTATAGTACCACTCTTCATAGAAACACAAAAAAAGTTCAGAATTGGAACATATTCCAGAGGTGGAAAAGATTTATTTAAAAAAGAACTCTTAAATTTAGAAACAATAACATGCAAGATGTTTACCTAGTATAGGAGTGATACTTTTTCTCCCCCTTCTTATCCTCTCTCTTTTTTCCTTCCTTTACCCTCTATTGCCCTAATCCTTCCCTCTTTGCTTCTTACCTTTACTTCCTTCTCTTTCCTCTCTATTTCTTTCTACTTTTTTCCTTCTTTTCCCTATTCATTTCCCTCATTTTCATTTCTTTCCTTTCCCTCTTCACCAGTTTTCTTTCTTTCACTTTTCTTTCCATCCCTCTTTTTCCGTCATGGTGCCATCTTCTCTCTCTCCCTTTCTTTTCTCATACTTCCTCCCCCACTTTCTCTCTCCTCCCTTCTTTTTCTTTCTCTCTTCCTTCTTTTTTCCTTTGTTCATCTGCCTCTCTTCTGCTCTCCTTCCCCCTTACCTTCCTCCTCCTTCTCAACAGTCCATGTACCCAGTTTCTTTCTCCTTTTATCAACTCCTTCCTTATGTCCATCCTTCTACCATTTCACTCATCCTACTACCTTATTCCCCCTTCCCCTCCTCAGAATGAGCTTCATTTAGTTGACCAGATATTTTTTACGAGGAGCTAGGTAAATTGCAGAATTCTACAAGAACATAATGAAAAGGGATAAAATCATACAGTGTCAACTTAGAGCACTTTATATATTGAATGAATGGAGTGGCAGAATATATTAAATTCCCCAAATGAGAGAACATTTGTTGGAAGAAACCTTAACTCAAATCATTCTTGTAATCTTTTTAAAATATAGCATGGAGTTGCTACAGAACAGTTTATTCTATGAGCATTAGTGAATGATGTTCTACTATTAATTTACATGAAGGTATCATATAAATGTTTACCTTAGGTTCTTATTCAGACCTGCCACTGAAATCAATGTGGCTTAAGATCACTGTCAGCTTGTCTCCATGAGCATCTCTGAGCATCCGTGGGATGGGATCCGTCAATAGACTGGGGCCCTGGAAGAGTGCACTCTGTTCTAAAAAACAGGATAGGTAAAGATTAGGAATCAGACAAGAAGTATTGATTGTGTATCTACTGTGCGCCAGGCACTGTGTGCAAAAATAATAGCTGATATCAAGAGGTTTAAGGTTTAGAGAGCATTTCCTAGACATGCTCACATTTGATTGCCATCATAGTCCTGTGAGATAGATGTTACAGGTAATATTCCCATTTTATAGATAAGGAAATGGAGGTTCAGGGAGGTTGTGATTTGTCCATGGTTACCCAGCAGGTAGGTGGTAGCGGATGAAATGCTAGGCCTGGAGTCAGGAAGACCTGAGTTCAAATCTGGCCTCAGGCAGTTGCTAGCTATGTGATCCTGGACAAGTCACTTAATACTGTTTGCCTCAGTGTTCTCATCTGTAAAATGAGCAAACCACTCCAATATCTTTGCCAAGAAAACCCCAAATGGACTAATAGAGAATCAGACACAACAACCACCACCACCCAGCTAGTAAATTTCAGAGATGATATTTAAACCCAGGTTCCTAGGGACTTAAAATTAAGTTCAACATTCTTTCCACTACACCACCCTACCCATTAAAAGGTATAATCATGTGAAGGCATCTAGGAACCAGAGGGAAGTGGGTGGAGAGCACCCTGATCAGGTGAATGGTATGATGATAATGTATATCAGAGAAGGCAAAGCTTTTGAAATCTTATTTTGCTTCTCACACCTCTGCCAAGGAGAAAGAACTTTGGATCAGAAAGCACAAAACAAAAATGACTAATGGGGATTTGAAACCTAGGATGAATAGGGAATATAATAAGGGTAGACCTAATTTGAATTTATCATTAAGCCCAGGCAAACTGCATCCCAATTTACATTCTAGTTATGCAAAATTTCTTAAATTAACAATAGAGAATGACCATCTGCTCATTATTGTAAGATGAGAGATTAAATAGGCAGATGTAATATGATTGCTCAAGGTATTTGCTATTATTATGGACAAATTCAAATGAGTTCAAGTTGGAGAGGATTTCTCAGTAGGTGGTCCCCCTCATGCTTTTGTTAATAGGTGATGCAGTGGTGATTATATCAAGCTCTAGAACTTTGCAGACTGTGCTGAATGAGATCCATAAACGCTCAAAGAAGTTTAAATTAATCATCAACACAGGAAAAACCAAGTGGATGAAAAATACCTGGTATCCAAACTAGAACGTAGTTAGATGGATAACCTTATATAGAGATCAGACATTGTTATTTGTTATCTCTAGATGTTAGTGCAAATGGATAATGGGTTGGGCCAAGATTAAACAGGAGGAGATAAATAGGCTGAATAGTTTTGGAGAAATTGTCAAGCTTCTTCAATGATCCCACGTTTCTCCCTGAAAAAAAAAAACCCAAGGGCAGCTAGGTGGCACAGTGGATAGAGCACTGGCCCTTACTAGTTGTGTGACCCTGGGCAAGTCACTTAACCCCAATTGCCTTAAAAAAAAAAAGGCTTCATCTTTTTAATATCAGTATTCACCCAGAATTGTTGTATGGGTCAGTGATATCCAAGCAGTCAAAAAAAAAAGAGTATCACTAAGAGTACAATGAAGAGATGCATGGAGTGTGAGCAGAATGTAACAGATAATAACAGAGTATTAAAAAGCATTGATTAAATACTTAAAATGTGCCAGACACTGTGCTACAGTGCTAGGAATGGGAGGGCAGAGGGGTAGGGGTGGAGTGGGGGAGTTGGGACAGTCCTTGCCCTTCAGAAATTTATATTCTGTACCAGAAATAAATGTACACATAAAACTAAATTTTATTGATATATGTGTGTATACATACGTGTGTGTGTATATATAATGTTTACATTTCCACACATACACACATTGTAATTAAAAAGTGCTTTTGGGGTAGATATTAGCTTCTGAGGGATCCAAAATGGTCTCATGTCCATACTTGAGTTGAACTGTGATAAAAGCTAGAGAAGACCATTGCAGATATTGGGAATGACTTATGCAAAGGCACAGAGACAAGTAATGGAATATTGTATACATCAAACAACAAGTTTGAACTTGGAATCTGACTGGAGTGTAGTGTGCTTAAAGGGCGATAAGGTGTAATCGATCTGAAAAAGTAGGCTGGAACCAGATTGCAAAGTACTTTAACAGTTAAACAGAATGATAATTTGTATTTTATTGTCAAGGCATTAGGGAACTATTGGTGTCTTTTGAGCAACTGAGTTTTACAGTCAAATCCGTGTTTTAGGATTATCACTTTGGCAGCTCTGTGGAGGATGGATTACAGAGGGAAGATACTGGAAATGGGAAGACCAATTGAAAGACTAGTGTTCCAGAGAGAGATGATAAGGTTTAAGTGGGCAGAAAGAGAGATTGAAAGAAGTGTTGTGGCAATAGAATCAGCAAGACTTATAGCTGATTGGATATGAGAGAGTGAAGAAGAGTGAAGAGTTGAGTCTGACTCTGACACTGGAAACCTGGGTAACTCTAAGAATAAATAGAGTAAAGCATGTTATCAAAGAAATATATGATCAAAAAAGAAAGCAGAATGGTCATGCAGTGATGAGGAATAACCAGTGGAGAGCCTTTATATTCCAGTAGAATTCTAATGATACTTAGAGAAAGAAAAGCCCCTACCACATTGGACTAGCCACCTCTGTTGAAATTAAAGGAGGTCATGGACAAGTGTTACACAGACTGGGCAAACTTGTATGGGTTGTGATTGGGACTTTTGGAGAGATCATCCATGTCAATAAGGTTGTATGTCGATTTGAGAACATTTCGGGGCCTGTGCTAGACACTAGGGAAAAAAGGCAAAATAGTCCCTACCTTTAAGGAGCTAGTAAACACAAGTTAGGAGTGACATGGTCAAACCTATGTTTTAGGAATATATCATTTTGGCAGCTACTCTCTCCTGGTACATGGAATATAGATTGGAGAGGGGAGAGACTGAAAGTAGGGAGATTATTATAATAATCCAGGATTGTGGTAATGAAGAGGGCCCACACAAGAGGTTAGAATGAGGGTTTCTATTTGAATAGAGAGATATGGAGTAGAACCAACAAAATATGGCAACTGATTAGATATAGAAGGTGGAGGAGAGTGAGGAGTTTAGCAAGACTTGGAAGTTTTAAATCTAACCTAATTAGAAAGGATAGTGCTGTCTACAGTGTAAGAAAGTTCAGAAGAGGGATGAGGGGGAAGGGGGGGATGGATGCTGAGGGTTTTTAAGACATTTAATAATCTGTAGGATATCTAGATGGAAATTTCTGACAGATTGTTGATGATAGTTGAGCCCAAGAAAATTCAGAGAAAGGGTATAGGAAGAGAAGATGACCTAGCATCGAGGCCTGTGTACACCCACACATAATATGCCTGAGTGAGCCAGCAAAAGCAGAGTTGGACAGACAGATGGGAAGATAACCAGGAAATAGCAGTATCAAGAAAATTCAGCAAGAAGAGTATCCTGGAGGAGAGGGTGTTCAGTAATATCAAATGTGGTCAAGAAGGAGTAGGACTGAGAAGAAGCTATCAAATTTAGCAGTTAATAAATCATTGGTATCATTGAAAATAATTGTTTCAATTGGCCTAACCATTCAAACTGGAAAAACTGAGTTCATGAAGCGTGCCTGTTATCCTAACTGACATAGATGGACAAACTATAGAGACTATATGTATATAAATCTTGGACAGACTGTACAAATGGACAATGAGTTGAACTCAGAATTATATAGTAGGAACAGATCAGGTCTATGAGATTTATGATAACTTAGGATATTTTCAGAGAATGCACTTTTTTTTGTTAGTGTCCATAGACTAAAATACATAACTGTATTTTAGAGTATATATAAAAGATGTGGCTTTTCAGGATCAGTGTATACCTTGTAACAAGGTTTATTGATTTAAAGTAAAAAAATATTATCATGAACCTACTTCCTAATTCTTTAAATACTGAGGATTGCTCTGATATTTTTCATTCTAATTACTGACCTAATCTTATTGACCTAATTCCAATAAAAGTACTGTGATCAGGACCTTAGATTTGAAGCCTCCTTTGAACAACTAGTGCAAACTCAAGATTAAATATTTAATTCTATTTTTCTTTGTAGGCCTATGAAGAATATACCAGCAAGCTAGATGCACTTCAACAACGGGAACAACAATTATTAGAGTCCATGGGGAATGGAACTGATTTTTCTGTTTCTAGCTCAGCTTCAACAGACACAGTTACATCTTCTTCCTCCTCTAGCCTTTCAGTGGCACCTTCATCTCTTGCAGTTTTTCAGAATCCCACAGATGTGTCAAGAAGCAACCCTAAGTCACCACAAAAACCAATTGTTAGAGTCTTCCTGCCCAACAAACAGAGGACTGTGGTAAGTATACCTTGTATGTCTTCATCTTACCTGCTCTGTCTTCTTTGTATTTTTTAGATAGAATAGATGTAGAAACTATAATATATTATTCTCTATTAGTCTGAATATAAACTGAATATTTTCCCTAAACCTGTCTTGTATAAAACCTAAATACAGCCTAATAATCAGTGTCATTTTTCAATTCATACCTCTATTTTTTTCTTTTAAAAAATAACTCATTTTAAGTATGGTTATGACCTATATTTGAACCAATATGGTAACTTGAAAAAAGCTCATGCTATCTAGTGATAATATGAATATAATTCTTTGGTGCAACATTAATTATGTGCAACATTTCTTAAAAATGTGTTTGTGTTGTCATCTTCAGTGTTACCTCTAATGACCTGATGCTATTGACCTAATTACAGTAAAGGTGATATCATCAAAACCTTTCATTTGATACCCTCTTTTCACAACTCAGTCTAAAGCCAAATTCTACATAAAGCATTACTAGTTTAATTTGGAATGTTTGGAATAGGGGAATGGCTTAACAAATTATGGTATATGAAGGTGATGGAATACTATCATGCTGTAAGAAATGATGAAGGAGATTTCAGGAAAACTTGGGAGGGCTTGTATGAACTAATACAAAGTGAAATGAGCAAACCAAGAGAACATTTTATACAATGACAATATTGTAAAGATAAACAACTTTGAAAGACTTAGGAATTCTGATCAGTGTAATAACCAATCTTAATTCCAAAGGACTCATGAGGGGGCAGCTAGGTGGCGCACTGGATACCGGCCCTGAAGTCAAGAGGACCTGAGTTCAAATCCTGCCTCAGACCAGACACTTAACACTTACTAGCTGTGTGACCCTGGGCAAATCACTTAACCCCAATTGCCTAAAAACAAACAAGCAAACAAACAAACAAACCAAAGGACTCATGATAAAAGATGCTGTCCACCTCCACATAGATGGCTAATGGACTCAATGCAAATGGAAGCATCTTTTCTTTTTTTTCTCTTCCTTTCTGTCTTTTTAGACATAGCTAATGTGGGGACTTGTTTTACTTAACTATACACATTTGTAACAGGTTTTGTTTTTCTTGCCTTCTCAGTGGATGGGGGGAGTTGGGAGAGAATTAATTTGGAATTGAAAATAAAATACAATTGAATTTAAAAAAGAAATTACAAGTCATTGAAAGTAACAATGTGTATAGTATTAGGCAACGTGGTGGTGATCCAGAGATAAAGTAAGGCTTAGATGTATCCCTCAGGGGACTTTAGAATCTAAAGGTGATGAAAGAAATAATATATACTCAAATTACTGTAACACAAGGTAGATGATGGTAAGATGAGGGTTGAAACAATGTGCAGTGAAAAATTTGAGGAATGAAAAATCATTTTTAGTTAGACCTTGGGAAGATAGATTTGGGGGGGGCGGGGGGGGGGCTTTGAGAAAAGAAAGAAGCTCTAAATCTTTAAGGGGCCAAGAACATTTTTTGCAGATGGAAATAACAGTTCAGTTCAGGGAACACATAGTAAGCAGCCCTGAAGAGCTAAGGCCTAACTCTGCCATGCAGTTGTTGGTGAGCAGATCTTTTGTCAAGAATTTATGGAAACACATGAACAAGAATCACAGAATCTGAGTTGAAGAGACCTCAGTTACTCTTGTTCAGTCTTTATCAGAGTAAGAATCCTCTCTACTAACTTCATCAAAATGGTCATCCAGCCTTTTTTTTTTTAATCTCTACTATTTCATGAAGTAATCTATTCTCCTTTTTTGGATATCTTATTATAAGAAAGTATTTCTTTAGATAGAACCAAAATCTGCCTTTTTCAACTTCTAACCCAGGAATTCTTAAACTGGGGTCCATTTACTTTAAAAACAAACAAACAACTTTTTGGAGTACTATTCCAATATAAATTTCCATTGTAATCCAATGTATTTTATTTTATGCATTTAAGAAACTTATTCTGAGATGGGGTCCCTAGGCTTCATCCCTTGGTTCTGGGCATTCTCTCTGGCCATCTCCCATGCCTAGAATGTTCTCTCTCTCTCTCTCTTTT